TTTTTTTTTGAAAATATATATATTACAAAAAAAAAGCTAGTTGCCAAGGTAATTTTTCTCATTTTCATTTAGTTCAAATTGAAGTACTAAATTAACAAACTAAAAATATAAATATGAGCATATAAAAAAAAATTATATTATTCATTTAAAAAAAAATCATATTAAGTTTTTAATTATTTTATTTTCAGATAATTGTGATATTTATTTTCTGTCAAGTATGAATACAACACAAAATATACGCTGTGTATTATTATTGTATTATTATTACATTATAAAAAAAGACACATGACCCTTTTCCCCAATTTTGTGTTGTTAAAAAAAAATTCTGGTAGTCCAGATGTTAAACATGGTGGATGACATCTTGGAATTTGCATGCAGGAATTTAGCATATGTAGCCTACAGTATACATACTACATACTGCAGAAAGAATAGAATAGAATGTTAGTATGCTTTTCCGATCAAAACCATGCTTTGAGAATACTCAACTCAATATTTTACCTGGAGAATAAATGAAGACTCAACAGGTTGACACGATAATGGCAGGTTTTGCCTCATAGTGGGCGTATGCAACAATCACCCATCAGCCCTTTGGGACTGCGCAGTAAATCAAACAGGAAATGCAGCAGAAACACTAATAAAGGTATTATGATGTGATCTTTATGGAACTGCTCTGTGAAAATAAGTTCTCTGTCTTATGGCACCCCGGCTGTTGGTTTTCTTTATAGACACGGAGGCCACAGAAGGTGTGATATGGGCTCAATATTGAGTTCATGTTGCCCATGTACTTTCATAACAAATGTTTTTGGTCTTTTTGTGAAGAATTTATCAGTGCATCAAGTGAAATTAGGCATATGGCAGATTCTACAAATGACTCAAATGCACAGGAAACTCACCAAATGATTTCAATATTACACACTGACAGGCTAGATATAAAACAAGAATTTGGTTAGATCTGCAGAAAGAATAGAATAGAATGTTAGTATGCTTTTCCGATCAAAACCATGCTTTGAGAATACTCAACTCAATATTTTACCTGGAGAATAAATGAAGACTCAACAGGTTGACACGATAATGGCAGGTTTTGCCTCATAGTGGGCGTATGCAACAATCACCCATCAGCCCTTTGGGACTGCGCAGTAAATCAAACAGGAAATGCAGCAGAAACACTAATAAAGGTATTATGATGTGATCTTTATGGAACTGCTCTGTGAAAATAAGTTCTCTGTCTTATGGCACCCCGGCTGTTGGTTTTCTTTATAGACACGGAGGCCACAGAAGGTGTGATATTGGCTCAATATTGAGTTCATGTTGCCCATGTACTTTCATAACAAATGTTTTTGGTCTTTTTGTGAAGAATTTATCAGTGCATCAAGTGAAATTAGGCATATGGCAGATTCTACAAATGACTCAAATGCACAGGAAACTCACAAATGATTTCAATATTACACACTGACAGGCTAGATATAAAACAAGAATTTGGTTAGACGGAACTATTTTTAACTACACTTTTAGGCCATCTGATAAGGACTTTTTCATCCAAATGCATTCTGGGATTATGATAGGCTACCTCCTAAAGAAGCATTCATACTGTATTTACAGTGATAAGCCAGTGATTTCTGACATGGGTGACAGCATGCATTGGCCGAAGCAAGAAAAATCTATCTCGGCGTTCTTTCTTTCTCTAGTCTTTTTTTGTATGTAGGCTGTGCGTGTGTATGCTATGCTTGCTGCAAGTGGCTTAATTTTTCACAAGGCCTAAATGAACACAAGTACATTTATTTTTTTTATTTATATATAGCTATATAAAATGCAATAACCAACAATATTCACGTACTGTAGGCTACATATATTTGAATTCAAATAATACATGAACTGACTAACGTAAATGAATCACTGAATCAGTTTTTTAATGCATTCATTAAAACGGATTCCCTGAACTGATTCACGGAAATGATTCAAAGGGGCTGTAGAGCTGAAAAGTTATATTCTCTTTAAAATTATGAATAACGTATTAAAAACCAGACACGTCTGACTAGACGCGCGAGGTTGTAACACTTTCCAGTGTATTTCGATGCGTAGGCCTACATTTCTATTTGTAGGGGAGTGGAAATAATTTTAAAAAACGCTAATTTGAATGGCAAAATATTACTAATATTTATTAAAATGCACAGTTTATATTAATTAAGAGGTAGGCTGCTTAGTCCGATTTTTGCATGATGGATATTATGTTTAAAGAACTGTCTGCATAGGTGACAGGTTTGTCATTATCATTTGCAGTTAAATATCGAGATCTAGTAGCTTTACCATATTAGCCTGGCAAAAATGAGTTCATTATAAAATATTTGCATGACCGTCTACAAATCTTTAAAATGTATTCAGAGTTTTATTTCATGTCATTAACCTTGTAAACTTCCAGATGAAATCCAGTGATTGCTTCATCTGAATGTCAAGTTGACCCGAGTGCATGTCAGAAGACAGATATAAATGCATCCTGTCATATTCAGCTGTCTGTAGAGTCCGT